TCCTGAGTTTGATTTCTGGTACCGGGAAAAAAAAAAAAGATGCCATCCCCTCCAGCTTCTCCTGCCTCTGGCTGGCTGGCTCCATGCCACTGTTAGACCTACTTGACTGCCCTTCCACACCCTGTCCTGTGTCCCCTTGGCCCTTCCCAGTACCTTACCAGGTTACCTGAGAGCCTTCCATGACCACCTCATCCTCCTTGCTGAGCCAGCTATGCACCCAGTCTTGTGCCTCAGTGGGGCAGATGGCTTGGTGAATCATGCACCCAGAGGGCTCATGCCTACCTGGGGCTACCAGGGAGGGGGTGGTGGGGCAGGCTATAGGGTTAGCATGCCACCCCTTCCCAGAGAAGTGTCCTGTGGACAACGCCAAGCTGACAGTGGTGGTGAACAACATTGCGGTGGCTGAGCAGATTGGGGAGCTCTTCATCCACTGTAGGCACGGCTGTCGCGTGGCAGGCGTGGGGAAGCCCAGCGTCTTTGAGGTGGACCCCCGGGGGTGCCCTTTCACCATAAAGCTCAGTGCCCGCAAGTAAGTACCCCCACCCCCAGTTCCTGGCTTCACCATGGGGCCTTGGCTCAGACTTTGTGTCCTGCCCTCGCACAGGGATCACGAGAGCAGCTGTGACTACAGGCCGGTGCGCTGCCCCAACAACCCCAGCTGTCCTCCCCTCCTCAAGATGAACCTGGAGGCCCACCTCAAGGAATGCGAGCATATCAAGTGTCCCCACTCCAAGTACGGGTGAGTGGGTGGGATTCCAGGCTCTCCTCAGCATCACTGGATGGAGAGCCCCTATGTGCTGGGCCTAGAGGGATGGGCTGGAGACAGGAGCCACACTTGTCACCGTCAGCACAACCAAGATCCAAGTGCCCAAGAGATTCAAGCCCCATGGGAATGCAAAGAAGGAACTGACAAGTTGGGGAGCTGGGGTATTGGGGAAGGTATGCTGGGGGCTGGCTTAGCATGGCAGATTGAGCAAATAGCCAGAGTTGTGAGCAGAGAGAAGAGGGCCTTGGCTCTTCAGGGCAGGGAGCCCAGTGGGGGCTGATTTTATTCTCAGGGTAGGAGAGCAATTGAAGCACGCTGAGGGCTCATGATTGGATTTTTCTGCTAAAATAGCTGCTGGCTACTGGGTGGTGAAGGTCTGGCAAGTGGAAAGGCCTGGCAGTGGAAGATTTTCAAGGGCTCCTTGGAGTTGGGAAGATGGGAAGGGTCCCACTGGGCAGGCAGGTGGGCAGCCATCCTGTCCCCCTAGGTGTGCATTCATTGGAAACCAGGACACATATGAGACACACCTGGAGACGTGCCGCTTCGAGGGCCTGAAGGAATTCCTACAGCAGACAGACGACCGCTTCCACGAGATGCATGTAGCACTGGCACAAAAGGACCAGGAGATCGCCTTCCTGCGCTCAATGCTGGGCAAGCTCTCAGAGAAGATCGACCAACTAGAGAAGAGCCTCGAGCTCAAGTTTGGTGAGGACCAGCCTGGAGGGTACAGGGTACAGCCACTGTGCCTGACCCCAGTGACACCTCCTCTCCTGCTGCTCAGATGTCCTGGATGAGAACCAGAGCAAACTCAGTGAGGACCTCATGGAGTTCCGGAGGGACGCATCCATGTTGAATGTGAGCAGGCTGGGGCTAAAGGTGGTTGAGATACAGGAGGACGGGGTTGGGCCTCATGGGCAGCCCTTCCCCACTGGCCTCTGTCCCCACTAGTCGAGGTTAGGGGCCAGAGTTCTGGAGAGGACTGCTGCCACCCCTGCCCAGTGCCTGGCCTTGGAGCTCCATGGCTACACTGGTGGCCATGGGAGCTCCACCCATTTGCCCTCCACTGCTCTTGGTCTTGCAGGATGAGCTGTCCCATATCAATGCACGGTTGAACATGGGTATCCTAGGATGTGAGTATAGTCCACTGCTACTCTCACCCACTGTCCCTAGGGCCCCACTGGGTCCCTCACTATCTTTTCCACTCTGCAGCCTATGACCCTCAGCAGATCTTCAAGTGCAAAGGGACTTTTGTGGGCCACCAGGGTCCTGTCTGGTGTCTCTGTGTCTACTCCATGGGTGACCTGCTCTTTAGTGGCTCCTCTGACAAGACTATCAAGGTGGGTAGGATCCTGCCCCATGGTTTCTGTAGCTTGGCCAGGCTGGGTTGAGCACTGCATGCCAGCCTCGCCAACTTGGACCTGCCTGGACGGGGTCCTTTCCCTTGGATGGCTGCCGTCTTTATCTTGCGATCCTAGCTCTTGGCACTGAGATGACTCTTTTGGATTCCACTCTGACCCTGGTTTTTGCAGGTATGGGACACTTGTACCACCTACAAGTGCCAGAAAACACTAGAAGGCCATGATGGCATTGTGCTGGCTCTCTGCATCCAGGGGTGAGTCTGGACACGTGTGCCTACTGACCTTGGAGGCAAGAGACAATGTGCTGCTACCCCCTGGCCCATAAGCCATAAGCTTGAGCCTTTGTAGCTGCATGTTGGACTCCTACCCTGTGGGATACCCTTGACCCTGAGCAATGCTGGTCTTTGTGCCATTGTGTAGGCCCTTGCATGGCTGCTCCATTTCCAGAGTTGTGTGTTTACAAAGTCTGGCCCTGGCATGCCTTAGGTGGGCAGAGGCTGGCAGTGAGACTCTTAGAAGGTTGAGGCAGGGGCATAGTTGTCACCAGTACAGCTAGGATCCATGGAACAGCTGCCCCAGCTGTCTCCTTGCTCTGGATGTCTTCTTCCCTAGACCTGTCTTCTTACTTCATATTGGGAGACTGTGTGTGAGCATTCATGTGTGTGGAAAGGAAGGGATACTCACTTACTGGAAGCAGCAGCTTAGGTGGCGGCAGCCAGCCCTAAGACTTAGTGTTAAGGACAGGGACTCCTTCCTAGTGGTCAGATGCTTTCCAGACAGGCGTCAGTGGCTAGCCCACTACTTCCAAAGTTCCCACACAGATGAGGCCTGGCTCAGGGAACCAGCAACGGTCCTGGTACCAGGCAAAGCTGCTGGTTCCTGTGGATCAGGCAGGGCAGTGTCAGTAAGGACAATAGCTTCCCCTGCCCTAATGCACTAACTTTGCTTCCCCAGGTGCAAATTATACAGTGGCTCTGCAGATTGTACCATCATCGTGAGTAGGGCCCATAGGCAGGCAGGAGTGGGAGGAGGTGGCCCAGCAAGCATTCTCTCCTCAGTGCTCTAGGCTCCAGGTAGCAGGGCTGGACCCTGAGGCTTGCCATCCATCCCCTCAGGTGTGGGATATCCAGAACCTACAGAAGGTAAATACCATCCGGGCCCATGACAACCCTGTGTGTACGCTGGTGTCCTCCCACAACATGCTCTTCAGTGGCTCCTTGAAGGCCATCAAGGTACAGGCATGCATTCACATGTGGGCCACTGGGTGCCCACCCGGTCCCTGCTCATAACCATTTCCACAGGTCTGGGACATCGTGGGCACTGAGCTAAAGTTGAAGAAGGAGCTCACAGGCCTCAACCACTGGGTACGGGCCCTGGTAGCAGCCCAGAGCTACCTGTACAGTGGCTCGTACCAGACAATCAAGGTACATGGACCCACTCCCTGTTGGCAGAGCCGCACCCTCTGCTGCCTCACTTCCCAGCTGGCCCTTGAGGGTTCCTTCTGCCCTGTACCCATCATGATGGGTGCTCCCCTGCATGGGTGGGCTGCCTCCTGGTATCTAACTGGCCTGGGACCAAGTGGCCACATTTGCCCATAGATCTGGGACATCCGGACCCTTGACTGCATCCACGTCCTGCAGACATCTGGTGGCAGTGTCTACTCCATTGCTGTGACGAATCACCACATTGTCTGTGGCACCTATGAGAACCTCATCCATGTAAGGGAGAGGTGCCTGAGGGGAAGACTGACTCTGGGCCCATTTTGGGCTCTCTCATTTTGGGTCTGTCTGACTGGCCTGTGCCTGCCCCCTCTCAGGTGTGGGACATTGAGTCCAAGGAGCAGGTGCGGACCCTCACAGGCCATGTAGGCACCGTGTATGCCCTGGCAGTCATCTCAACACCTGACCAGACCAAAGTCTTCAGTGCATCCTATGACCGGTCCCTCCGAGTATGTGGTAGCCCAGCAGCAGCAGGAGGCCCAGGAGGACGGTGGTTGGGCCTGAACAAACCCTCACATCTTATGTGCTCCCCAGGTCTGGAGTATGGACAACATGATCTGCACACAGACCCTGCTTCGCCACCAGGGCAGTGTGACTGCTCTGGCCGTGTCCCGGGGCCGGCTCTTCTCAGGGGCTGTGGATAGTACCGTAAAGGTCAGTGCCTATGCTCCAGACCATCCACAGGAGCCCTACAGATGGAGCAGGGGGTGGGGGTCAAGGAACTAGAAGCCCCAGGCAAGTGGAAGAGGAAGGCAAGTGTGATCACCAGATATCCCTGGAGCACAGGGGCATCTGAACCAGAGCCCTTTCCTTGCAGGTTTGGACATGCTGACAGAATCCAAGCCAGGCCTCAGCTCCCTCTGGCCCTTGTTTGAGCCAGGCTGGCCACACAGGATGGCCTTTGTGTTTCTGCCTGCCATGTAAGGACAGGTAAAGGCTCAAGTGGCCAGCAGTGTCCCCCACTGCTGCTCCACACTTGGCAAGCCTCCTTCTATTTGCCCCTGCCTTCACTCTTGCCAGGGCAAGGCCCAGGCCCCTCTGGGTGCCAGGTACGACACTCCAGTCCGCCCTTCATCCACACTCCAGATGAACTGAGAGCCTTTTTACTCACCTTTTCTACTGTTTTTAGACTGTATATAGATTTGATTACTTCCTGATTGAAATAAAAGTGGCACAGACTGTGGCTGTTGAGTGGAGAGGGGTCCTGGGACCAGGGGCCTATGTGTGGCCCTGGGTATGTGCATAGGCACCAGCAATGTGTGAGGGAACTTGGGCCCTTTCCCTGTAGGGAGAAGCACAACAAACTTGGCTCCTGGCCTCTAGTCTCTGTGCCCCACTTTCCCCAACCCCATAGCCTCAAAGAGTGAACCAAGCAGCTCCGATTTCTGTTTATTGACAGCCAGCTGACAGCAGCTCCCTGCCCAGACGACCCCCCTCCCACCTCCCAGAGCCCCAGCCTGGGCTGCCTACTGACGGCCAGCTGGTCAATTCAACAGGAAGCCCTAGGTGTGACATTTGGAAGAGGACCCATGTCCAGATGTCACCCTACCTGGCCCCCTCCATCAGCCTGCAGCACAATTGCTGGTTTTCGGCAGTTTTTAATTTTTTTTTAAGAAATGTCAAAGTTGTGCCCAACACTTGTGGATTCAGCAAACACGATAGAGGAGACCAGTCAGTACTTTTTAGAGGGAGGAAAGAGGAGAGAAGGTGAAAATGACCACACAACACAGCCTGGACCATGAGCAGAAGCATCCATGGGAATTGAATGAGGCCCTGGGGAGGGAGTCAGGCACACCCTTGTACGCAGATCTGCCAGCAGCCTGGCATGCGTACCTCTGCACCCACACCGCTGTCACTCGGCTGACATGCCCATGATGACACACTGACCCCAGGGCATTCCAACCAGCAACCACAGGGCATGGCCAGCCCAGGAGGAGGAAGCCCTCCCCACAATCTCAAGGGCACAGAGGACAGCCCGTCAGCCAAGGCACATCCTTCAAGTTCTTCCAATGCAGAGAAGTTACAGGTGAGAAAAGGAGAGGAGAGAGCCTGGGCAAAGCCCCTCCCCAGATAGTCTCCTGTGTGTTCATGGCCAGGGCACGACCACTCCTAGACGTAGGGAGGGAAGGACACACAGACAGATGTCCTGGGTCCCTGACAGTTTTAGTCTCAAGCTGGGCTCCAGTGTCCTTTCAGTTGGTAAATGGTTTTCTAATATAATCAATAATATTTCTTCTTTCTTTAAATATATATTTGTTAAAGTTATACCTTTTTGTTTCTCTGGGGAAATCTGCCTTAGCTCATTCCCAATAAATTAATATTTTTGATAGCTTATATTCTGGGGGGTGCAGTGGGGCAGCCGACTTTGGCCCCCTGTCCCTTGTGCTGTGCCAGAGCGACTGGCAGAGGTTCCCCAATGGGCAGTTCTGTGCTGGGCATAGGCCTGTGCTCTGCCACAGATTGGGGAAGGGGTGACAGCAGCTGCCCCACCTCATCCACAGGAGCCAGGGAGGGGGCAGCCCTTCACTCGCTCAGAGGCCGCGGCTGTGGCCCAGCAGTTATTGCACAGGGAGCAGCAGACAGGGCCGGGCACCATGGGGGCAGCGTGTCCACCCAGAGCCCTTGGAGCCCCTGGCCAGGCGGTCCTGTAGGTGGGTGCCTGTCTGGGCCAGGACGAGAGTTGTGCTTCTGCCGGGGTTGGGCAGCCCCGCCCGTCGCCACCCGCCCCTGCTCTGAGGGACCCGTCCTGAGGTAAGGGCGCGGCGGGTCGGATGAGGATAGCCGCCTCACTCCAGCATGGCGTCCAGCTGGTCGGCCAGGTCGTCAAACATGCTGCCGATGTCATCTAGGATGCTGCCAGTGCTCTTCTCTGCGACCGCAGAGGGCCTGGGGGGCGGTCGCGGGTGAGCATGCCCCACAGAACACAGGACCCGCCCCTTAGGCCAGGAGGCTTCCGCCTACCCAGGAAAGGTCACCCTGCCCACACACACAGGGTCTCGCCCACGACCCCGCCCAACCAATGAGTCCCGCCCACCCCAGGCCAATTCCCTGTAGTGCTCCCACCTACCGGGGGCCTTGCCCATCCTCCTGCCGGATCTTCTCCTCCACCGCTTGCAGCGCCGCGGCCAGACATGCGCTGGTCTCCTCCAGCTTCTGCCTCGCGCTATCCCCGGGCGAGGGCGAGGTCCCCTCGAGTGCAGCGGTAGCGCCGGCGGTGGCAGCGGCGGTGGCAGCGGCGGCGGCAGCAGCGGCACGTGGGGGCTTGGCAGGCACGTGCAGCGCAGGCGCGCCCGGGGACGGGGGCTTGGCAGGGCTAGCGCTCAGAGAGGGTGGCGTGCTGGCCGGCTTGGCAAGGGCAGGGGGCGGCTGGCGCGCTGGAGAGGGCGCAGGCGACGAGCTGGCGCTACCTGACTGCAGGCCTGCCGCGGCCTTGGCCGGTTTGGGTGCCGTGGGGGGCGGCGGCGGCTTGGGAGACACGGGAGGCGGCGTACCGTGTGCACGTTTCACTTCTGCGGAGAGGGGTACATTGGCATCCAGGCCGGTGCAAACACACTGGGAAGCAGAGACCGCCCTCTGCCCCAGTCTTCCCAGACCAAATCTATTTTCATCACTGCTTCCCAATCCCTCCTCCCTAGGTGTGACCTACTGGAGCCATAGGGCCCTCTAGTTGTTTGAATGCCTCAGGGCCTTTGAACCTCCATCCTACCTGGAATCCCACCCCTACCGCTTCCTGCGCCTGGGTACTCCCAGGCCTGGTCTGGCAAAGTTGTCGAAGGGTATGTGGACACTCCCACCCTATTCCACCTGGGCCTCATCAAATCCAAAGAGGCAAAGCCCTCAGACCATGGGATCTTGCACTGCCCTAGCAGGCTCCCTGCACTTACCTGGGCTGCCAGGACCAGGCAGGGGCACCTTCTTGGAGGAGGGCGTGGGTGACCCCTGGATCTTGGGCACAGGCTGAGTCAGGACAGGCTTAGGAGAGACAGGTGGCTTTGCTGGCTTTCGGGCATCACCTTCTGGCAGGGGCAGTGGGGGCAAGTGTGCCAGGTCGGTGGGTGGGGGCTCAGCAGGTGGGGGTGGGGGAGGCAACTCTGGGGGCCCAGCTTGCTCCAAGGCTGGGCGGCGTCGAACTGTGGCTGTGCCATTCTGATACACAGACAGTGATGGGAGGGGTTCAGAACCAGCCTCCCGCTCCTTGGCCTTAGGGCGACGCTTGACCGTGTCAGACTCTGTCAGGATGAATTTGACATTCTCCTGCTGGTTCTGCTTGGCCCGGATGCGCCTCTTCAGTGTGGCACTGGCCTCTACCCTGGCCAGGGGTGGGCCATCAACACTTGCCTCTCCCTTGCCTGGACCCTGAGGCTGCTGCCGGGCCTTACCATCTTCCACAAAGTGGCCTCCACCTGTTGGCTCCACAGACCCCCGGCGGGCAGTGGCCAGAAGTCCAGTAACAGGGCCGCTGAGTGTGCGGCGCCGGTTCACTACTTCACCATCAGGCCCAATGGCCTCTTTGTGCTTCACTGAGGCTAACACTGTGGCCACCCGGCCTGGCCCTGGACTGGCAGGATGAGGTGTGGGGTGGCCCTCAGGAGGCCTACGGGCAGCCCGACCACCACCCCCAATGGAAGACAGCTCAAGCATGGCCGCGATGCTCTTCACACTGCCGGCACTGCCTGTGTCCACACTGCCAGCCAGGTCACTAGCCCGCCGACGCTGTGCCTTGACCCCCAGCTGGTCTTCGTCAGTTTCAGCATCCTGAGCTGGCTCATCGGCCAGGTTGGCACTGGCCATGGCCGAGCTGGATCGCTTGGGTGGGGGTGGTGGGGGACCCTTCTTGCGGGGCCGAACAGCAAAGGACTGACTTCGGTTTACGTTCTTATCAGTGCCAGTGGGTGCCCTCACAGAGTGGCTGCGCCCCACGCGGCGCTGGACCGTGGCATAGGGTCCTGCAGCAGCAGGCACCAGCAGCTCATCCCGCTCTGGCTCGCTGTCAGATGCTGCATAGCGGTTCAGGCTGTGAGCACGCTTCTTGGGCCGCCCAGGCTCTGCCTCAGCTTCAGGGGGCAGGCACAGTGTGGGCACAGCTGCAGGCATGGTTTGGGGCACAGGCGCTGGTGTGGCTGGCCCTGTGTCACCCTCCACAGGCTGGGGCAGCACATAGGCAAAGCCACGGTGTGTAGGTGACTGTGGCAGGGAACGGGGTGACATGGGTCGCTCTGTTGGTGGCAGCAGCTGTGGGGTGGGCTTCACCTTGGCTGTGACGGGAGCTGGACCATGAGGTCCTGTGAGGGCTTGGGGGGAGCCTGGCCGGGCTTTGGTGGGCGTCTGAGGGGGTGTGAAATGGCTGCCACCTGGTGGAAGGACCTGCCGAGGCTTGCCAGGCACTGGGGGCACACTAGCCCTCTTGATGTGGTGCCCATGGCGGCCAGACCGGACCTCCTTAGGTAGGGTACCAGGGGCCTGCCCCTCATCCAGTAGGTATTCCTGGCTTCGTGACATGGGGCTGCCAGGCCCAGGGGGCCCTTCTCCTAGCAGCTCCTGAGAACTACTCATATGCCGAGCCCGTCCACCTAGGCTGGGCTCCTGCCGCGAGGTGGCCTTTGGGGTGGGCGGCAGGTGGTTGGAAGGCTTCTCAGCAGTCCCCCCATCGGCCGGGCCAGTCATGGCAGCCTGCAGCTCGCCACTGAGCTCACTGTCCTGGAAGGTGGTCATCTTAGGAGATTGGCAGTCAGTTGGAGCAGGCTCAGGTGGGGGTGGGGACTCAATAGCCATCATTTTGAGTGACTGGGGTGCCTTTCGATGCAGGGGTCCCCCCTCATACTTGGCATATTCTGCTTTCTGGAGCTCTGCCAGCTTCCTCACTGCCAGCATCAGCTTCTTTTGGTGGCCTGGGTGAGACATGGGGGCAGGTCAGGTGGACCGTGAGGGGGAGGGGCTGAGCCAGGACCAGGGCCAGGGCCTCACCCAGCTTAGTGATGCCGATCTCCTGCAGGTCTTCCCAGGTGATGTCTGTGATGAAATCAATGTTCTCATAGCCGTTGTCCACCAGCACCTTGTAGTACTGTGCCAGGCCGATCATGGACAGCCACACGGCCAGGTTAGCCTATGGAGCAGGGGACATATAGGGGCAGCCCAAGCTGGCTGCTTGTACCTTGCCAGCCTACTTGGAGCTATTGGAGGAAGAAGCACTTGTCCCGCAGGGCACGGACAAACAGAAGGACGAACAAATAGACCCAGGGTGTCACTACTGCAGACAGCATTAGCAAGAGCCCAAGACAGCTCCTTAGCACACCTATGGAGCACTGGTACACATAGGACCCAACACACACACACACACACACACACACACACACACACACACACACACACACACACACACAGGGACCTATCCTCAGGACATGGTTTTAGGGGGAAGAAACTACTTCCTCACCTGGCCAGGCAGCCATGGGCACAGGGCCCTTAGGGGATGAACCCATGCATCACAGACACAAACACACAGTACCAGATTGGATACACATACACACGCACCCCCTATACTCTCCACATCCAAAGCACACAGGTATCCATACCACCTCCTAACACACACTCGCTTGCTGTTTCCTCACCTACATCAGATGTGCTTACTCACATGTCACGCACACACCACACAGCCACATCAGCACACATGCAAATGTCCACAGCAGTCTTAACCCAGCAACACCCTATCATTTCCTATGCTCCCAGCCAGATCCACTCGTGCTCCAACACTCACTACCCTCAGTCTCACCAGTGACAGAGTGAGGCAAGGCCACAGGGCCCAGATGTGCTCCTGGGAGGATCTCTGAGCTGCTGACTGAGTGGACAAGGTAGGGTAGATGAGTGCAATGCCCCCATCAACAGATCCAGGGCCCTGGGGGGTTTGGGTGGCCACCAGTGCCTCACCCATAGATGAATAGGAGCCAGTCGACCAGAAAGCCAGTCTGAGGTTGGGCAGCCCTGAGCCCACCTCCTCTCAGCCCAGAAGCTGCCCCCACACGGACACATCCCTGTAACAGCACAGGCCATGGTCTGAACATATACCATCAGAAATTGAGTGTCAGCTCCTGGCACAGGTCAGCATTTATGGCAGACATTGTACATGCAGCTGTCATGGGACCCTAAAGAGTATTTGGCATACCAGTATGTTTCCACATGGGCCTTCTATAGTCTGCATGTGGGCAGTGCCCTAAGGTGTCACTGTGTGAAGGGGACGCTCCTTGCCTCAGACTGTCCTCACTCTGCCAGCCCCCAGACAGTATCACCTTGCCCCTGCCCAGGGAAGCTGGCCTCAGTGTCTGGGGTAGACAAACAGAGGCTGTCCGGGAGCTCCCTGCTGGTGGGCCATCCTCCACTCTGCTCCCTAGAGCCCCAGTGAGCAGGTTAAGGCTGTAGTCATCTGTCTGTCTGTGTCTGTCTGCTGGTCCTGGCTCAGCCACCAGGATGAAAGGAGCCTTACAGGTTTGTGTTCGGGTAGCCAGTCAGGGATGTTCAAGCCGCTGATCTCTGCCGTGATCTTCTTTCGGTGGCCTGGCTTGGTGACACCTATAGCCGTGAGGTCCTAGGCAGAGTGAAGGCCCATAAGCAAGAGACAGGGCCTGTCACTGGGAAGGGATAGCAGCCAGTGGCCAGCCTGTTGCAGCTTACCTCAGGGGTCATACGGCTGATGGTGGGCAGGTCATAGCCGGCACTGGTGAAGTTGGGGGCATAGAGCTGCAGCTGGAATGTGGCAAGCCACTGGCTGACTGCCTCAGCACTCTGGAAGACACAAGGCACCGGCTGCAGGCCGCCCACCGCCAGGCCTGTGCCCCGGCCACCATAGCACCTCCTTTTCTGCTCAACTGGTGGGCCACGGAGTGCTGGGTCTGCTGTCCATGGTTCATCTGCAGCCAGGCCCTGGTAAGCCTGGCACTGGTGCTCCGTCATCTGCCATCCTGGACACTGAGCATCCTCAGCCCTCCAGCCTTCTTCTGTTTTCTCCACCCGGAGGGTACAGCTGTTCATGTCATAGCCTTCCTGACCTGCCCCCCGTTCCTGCACCAAAGACACCCATACCATCTTGGGGAGGCAGGTGGTGTGACCCCGTGTGAGAGGGCTCTGGGGAATGGGTCTCGGGCTGGGCTCCTCAGTGCTGTGCCCAGCTCCCTGGAGGGTGGACTCTGTGCCCATAGGCAGGAACACCATGCCTACTCTGCTGTGCAGGACCCAGCCAGCAGCTCACACCTCCCAGCACATGGGTGCATGCACACGCAACCCCTTGCACCCAAGCACACACCCATGTGTCTCACACCTATCCCCTTCCATGAGTGCAGCTACACACGTGCATGCCCAGCTTGCAGTCACACTACTGCACACACACATATTCATCACCCTGTATGCCTCCACAAGCACATACATGTTATCTCACAGACTACATAGTGGACAACACCTATACACTCACATATGTTCACACATGACACATTCACAGATTGACAGACAGAAGGACAAGATCTGACCTTGCAAAGGCCCCAGCTGCTGCTGAGGCCAGGCCAGGCCAGGCAGACTGCCTGGGTGCCAAACTGTCTACCCTTGCCCCCCAGCCTGGTCCCAGGAGCCTGCCCGGCCTGTACCTTGCCCTCCGATGCTGGCTCCAGCTTCTTGGGAGGCTGTTCCACATAGCCTTGTCCAGTGTGAGCTACTGGAGGCTGGGACCGGGCCGCACCTAGTGACAAGACGAGGTGACAGGGCAAAGGTGTTCAGGGGTCACCTTCCTACAGATCAGTGCAGCTAGGTCCTCACCTGTGGTCCCCTCCGGAGGCTTGACAGGGCTGTCGCCTGGGCTGGATTCAGAGACAGACTTCTGGGAAAGCACTGTTGCCAGGAGCTACAACCCAGTAAGGCCAGCTCACCCAAGCTGCTCCAGGCCTGGCCACCCAGCTGTCCCAGTCCAGCCACTACCTCACTGACCTTGACCCCTTCAGAGCCTGCATGTAGGGTGTGGCCCCCACCACTCCTGCCACCAGCCACACTGCTCAAGCTGCCACTGCGATCTCCACCTGCCCACACACGGAGCATGAGGCCAGTGTCAACCCCTGCATGGTCCAAGTGACACCACCCCTGCCCTCCTCAGCCTTCTGGCCTACCTGCAAAAGGCTTCCTCAGCACCCAGATCTCCTCAGGGGGCCCAGAGGGCCCTGATGAGCTTCCTCCCTGGGATGGGCTTGGCTCACTTCCTACTCGGGAACCTGCAGGCCAAGCACATCCTGAGTCCTGGATCTGCCCGGGGGGGTGGGGTCTGGTACAGAGAGGGGGAGGGACATGGTCTTCTTGAGTCCTGGACCTGTGCAGGTGTGGCCTGGTTGGAAAGGTGACTAAGCAGAGGTACATACACACCTCTGGAGATCATATTATAGCTTCCTTCCTGGCTAACTCCAGGGAGCTGAGAGACCCTCTGGAGACCCCCTCCCCACCTCAGACATTTGAGATTAGGAAAAAGTGGCTGAGAGCACCAGGTGTCCTGTGGGGAAAAGAGCTGATGGTTGATGGAGGACCATTTCTAGGTGCAAGTGAGGTAAGAAGTTGCCCAGGAGCCTGATGCCAACAATCCCATCCCAGGAACTAGATGACCTTCCACTTCCTTGACACACCTTCTAACTGGCATCCTCTGCCTTCTTGCCCCATCTATCAATCTCCATGTCCTTTGGAAAAGGTAAGCCACTCCAGCCTACTGAAATCAGGCCGTGGAACATCCCAGCCTGGTCCTGCACCTCACTCACTCTGCTTTAGCCACACTGGGCCCCTGTCCCTTCAGGTGCCAGGTTCTTTGCCTCAGTGCTTTTGCACATGAGAGTCCTAATGCCTGAACTGCTGCATATAGTTGACCCCTTTCACTTCTCAGGGCCTTTTTGGGGGGGGGGAGGGGGTTGGGGACAGGATCTCACTGTGTAGTTCAGGCTAGCCTTGAAGTCACTATGCAGCCCAGGCTGACCCCGAACTTGCAGTGAGCCTCCTCCCTCCACCTCTCAAGTACTGGGATTAGTCACCACACCCAGTTCAGGGCCTTCTTTAACTGCACTATCTAAAGCAGGCCTCTCTCCAAATTTTCCCTGTCACGGATTAGTATTTTCTCCTCCATATCTACTTCACTGACTCTCACTCCTTCCTACTCCAGGGTGAGCTTCTGGAAATTCAGAGCAACATCTGTCTGGGTCCCTGTGTGTCTCCAGTGGCTGGCTCAGAACTGGAGCATGGCAGGCATGCAGTGTTTGTGGAATAAAGAAGGACTCTGTGCAGGGTGCTGGTGAGGAGATGATTGGTGGGACACACTGCTGGACCCTACTCCTGGCAGTGGCTAAAATTCAGCCCTGCCACCAGGACAACAAAGCACATTTGCTGCCTCCTGGCCCCTCAGCTCAGGCTAAATGTCTCGCTGCTTCCCCCACAGCTGGGTGGGACTTGCCTGCTCTTTTGATGATGGCCTCACCCAAGGAGGATGGGAAGTAGCCCACCCGGTCATTGCCTGTCCGGTTGTCATGGATACAGCCCTTCCACCTGCCATCTGGATGTTGTTCCAGGACCTGGCCAAATAAATAGGGCAGCATCCTTAGGGAACTGTCTCAATAGGTGGGTCCTGCTTCCCAGTGCCCCCCACCAACTGCTGCAGGAGGATCTTCTGGGTGAACATCCCCGGGTCCCACCCTTCTATGCCTCAGTAGCCCCCAGGGCAATTCTCACTGTGATGATGTCCCCAGCCTTCACGTTGAGGCTCGTCAGGTCGTAATTGTTGCAATAATCCTTGGTTGCCCGGACCTGCAGGGCCGCTGAGGCCTCTGGGAATACATGAGGTGGACCCCCCCAGTCCTGCAAGCTGCCTGCCCTGACCCCACCCCACCCTCAGCTGTCTGGGCCCACCTCGTAGCAGCTGCTTGATCTCTTTGCTGGCCTGTGATGTGGTGAACTGGTGTACGATATCCAGCGCCGTCTGGCTGTAGGTGTTCCTCACTTGGGCATTGATCCCACTCTGAACAGGGGAAAGTGTGTGACCCTGTCAGAGGTCCCCTCACCCCCACTCATCCCCAGCTGCCCCCTGCTCTAGACTCACGTCCAACAATAGCCGAACCACTTCTGTCTTCCCACAGAGTGCTGCCTCATGCAGGGCTGTGCCAGACTTAGTCTGGCGGTTAATGTCGATGCCAGCTTGGAGGAGGAGTCTGGTGGGAAGGAGGGGAGGGAGGACAAGGCCTTTCAGCTGAGCAGTCCTCCTTGGCTCTTAAGCCAGGCTTGATTCCCACCTGCTTAGGCTGAAGAATGGTTCCAGTGCTGTTCTGTGTCCCTGACTACAACAGTATCTGATATTTGGCAAGCACTTGCCAGAGGGCCCATCCCTTGCTAGCCTCTCATAGCTATTATATTGTCCAGTCCTGGTATAAGCACTCCTGTGACCCTTGGTTTATAGGTGGGGAAACTGAGCCCTGGAGAAGCTAAGTGCCTCTACAAGGTCACCTTGCAAGTGGAGAGCCCAAGCTAATGAGCTATGGGAGACGGAAGTAAGAGCATCACAAATTCAAGCCCAGCCTGGGCAATGTAGTGACCTACTGAGACCTTGTCTCAAAACAAAAAACCAAAAAAAACAAAAAAAAACCCAACAACCCCTCTCTCTGACCCTTCCAGCTCAACCTTTACCTGGGCCTCTATACCTAGCACCCTAACTACATCCCTATAGCTTCCCAGAGGTTCCTATTTTGTCCCAGGCCAGGAGCAGGACCCCTGAGCCCATGGATGCCACCGAACCCCAAGAATCCTGAGGCTGGGTTCCCCTCTCCCTGTCACTGGCAATACCTGATGATGTCAATGTGGCCATTCTTGGCTGCCAGGTGTAGGGGGCTGGTGCCATTGGGGTCAGTGGTGTCGCCCGGACGTGGCTCCAGCAAAGCCGCACACATATTGCTGCTCAGGAGTAGCTGGACCACCTTGAGGGAGGTGTCAGTGTAGGAGGGCACTGGCCTGGGGCTGCTCCCAACCTCTCCCCAGGTGAAGAGTGTAGGCAGGTAGAGTCCCACTCAGCTCTCAGGGGAGACTTACCCCAACTCGGCCAAACTCACAGGCCAGGTCCAGAGGTGTCTTCCCTGAGTTGTCCACCATGCATGGGTTAGACTGGTGCTGCAGCAGCATCTCAGACTGCAGACCCAGGTCATGATCAGTTCCCAGCAGCACCAGCCCTGGTATCTGCCCACCCCATTGTGCCACCCAGACTCACCACATCGTAATGACCATGCTGGGCCGCCAGGTGCAAGGGGATGTGGCCCTCATCAGATGGGACATTTACTGCTGAGCCAGCCTTCAGCACTAGCTTCATGGGCTCCTTCCGACCCTGCCAGGCTGCATAGTGCAAGGGCCGCATACCTGGGGACAGGTGGGGCCATTGGGACTGACTCTGGTTCTGAACCCAACCCTGACCTCAAGGACATAAATCCCATAAGATTTTGCCTTGGCCCAGACTGAATCCATGGGCAGAGGCCTCAGTGGAGGGACCATCCAGGCTGTGAGGAGCCCACCCCTGACCTTGATCTTCTGCCCCTGGCCTAGAGGCTCTGGACCAGTCTTGCCTTTGTTGTCCTTGATGTCCACAGCAGCCTGAGCCTCCAGCAGTAGAGAGATCAATTCTGTGTTGCCATTCAGGGCCGCATGGTGCAGGGCTGAGAAGCTGGGCAAGCAAAAGGCAAGTCTAGGAGAGGACCTAGCCCCCTGGCTTTCTACAGGTGATGCCCACCCCGTTCACTATCATCCCAGCTAAGAACTCACCCATCTGGGTCCTGAAAGTTGACGTTGATCTTCTTGGTGGAGCCCAGGAGCTCTAGGGAAGGAGGGAAACACAATGAGAAGCTCTGCCCAGTTCCCTCAAGGAAGTCCAAGAGCAGAGGTGGACGGTGGTGGCTCCTTGTGGCCTGGAGCCAGGTTCTTAGGCTATAAACATGCATGCCACTCCAGGTGCCAGCATTTTGAGGTTCCATTTCCTATTGCACTGAGTGTATGTGTGGGGGGTGTCACCATGCCATGGGTTCTGGGCTGTCTCCACCTGGGAATGGGAGTCAAGGCTATGTACCCATGTGGGCACCCACATGTGCACACACAGCCCCTCCCTCAAGATGCTGGCTGGGCACCTGCCACTGGTGGGAGGGAGAGAGCCACCCAATCTGTCTCAGAAGGACCCAGATGGGGCCGGGGGTGGCCAGGAAGGCTGGAACACCGGAAATGGGGTATCTCTAGGGAAAGAGCTGCATCACCACGATGTAGCCCTTCACTGTCAACCCAGACCTGCAGTATGGATGAGTCCTACCCTCACAGGGTAGAAAGGGGTGGCTGGCAAGGAGGCTACTGCCTCAGAGTGATATGGCCATAGTCACCCCCGCCTTTGAGACCTCTCTTCCTGGAGCCACCCCTAGCTGTCTGGCAGAGGAGGGGAGCCCACCGATACCCTCCCAGTGGGCTCAAATCCACACGGCCTAGGGCCAACCCCAGCCCGTCTGGGCCATGGTTACATAACCCATTTGTGGGTCAGTTGCTCTGTGAGACGGGGCTGGCAGGACAGAAGCCCCTTTGTCCAGGCCCAGAAGAGGGGTGGGGGTGGGGTACCAAGGGCAGGAGAACCAAGGGAGTTGAGTCACAGAGGGTTGGCTACAAGGCTCTACTCCAGCTCTGTCTCAGCCACTGGGTGCAGGGTGTGGTTCCCCTAGGACCCTTTAAGTCCAAGAAGATAGATCTGAATTTGAATCTTTATTCTGTAAATCACTAGCCGTATGGGCTTGGCCTCTGGGCTCCTCCCTGGGCCTGAAAAGAGAATAACAGAGTTGGGTTTGGTGGTACATGCCTGTAATCCCATCTAGGAGGCTGAGGCAGGAGGATCACCAGTTCAAGCAATTTAGAAGCTGAGCAACTTAGAAACTTAGCAGACCCTGTCTCAAATTTTTAAAAAATAAAAAAGGGGTTAAAATGTAGCTCAACACTGGGGCAAGGGATAAGGTATTTCCAGACCCAGGTTTTTACTAAGGTCAGCTATGTGGGAATCCATGAGCTCTGGGGTTTCCCAAGAGCAGGTGAGCAAAGGCATCTCTACTTCTCTGGCCACCTGCTCAGACACTGCTGGTGCCAGTGTCCATCTTGGTGGGCAGCAATGCGGACCTTCTCTTTGGTGGCCCTGGCCAAACCTTGAAGTCAGCCCCAGGGATTTTTTTTGCACATACAAATCATGTCCTCAAGAAAAGAAAATTCTGCTGATTCTACCTCAAGATTTGCTCAAAGCACACCCAGGATCCTATGCTTCTCACCATGCTGTGGCCAGCAACCTGTTTCAGAGACCCTACCTCTGGCTCTCCACTGGCATCCATACTCCCTTCCCACACCCCTTGGTCTGTCTTTTGTACCCACTAGTTAGTACCCTGGTTTGCTTTTGTGTGTGTGTGCTTTTTGTTTTGAGACTGTCTCAACTCCCCTCCTAAGCAAAGGTACCCTGTTAAAAATGCAAGTTGGCTCATCTCACTCTACTCCCGGAGAAATGCCCATTTCACTGGGGTGAAGAATGAGCTATACAATGGCTCTGCAGGATATCGCTCCCCCTGACTTGCTTTGAGCTCCCTGTCCTCTACTTCCATCATCTGATCCAGCTGATCCAGCTACATTTTTGGTGTTCCTTGGAAATATAAACAGCCCTTGTCACTGGGCCTTTGCACATACCATGTGTGTATGTATAGGCTACTTTTCCTTCAATGAGCTATATGACACCCCCCCCATTGCTGTAAGGTCTCTATTTAGATGTCACCTGCTCAGTAAGGCCTCCCATCCACAACAACCCCTTCCCTTCCCCTATCTGCTGCATTTTTTTTCTCTTTCGCCCCCATGATCCCCACCAGGTCACATCTACTTTTTTTTTTTTTGGTACCAGGGATCAAACTCGGGACCTTGCACTTTTGAGGCAGGCACCGGAACCACTGAGCTAAATCCCCAGCCCCACATCTACTTATTACTTGTGTAAGTCCACCTCCAGCACTGAACTACATGCTCACAGAGGACAAGGGCTTTCATCAACTTTGCTCACTGGTGTACTCTCCGTTAGCTGAAACAGTGCCTGCTGCCTATGAAGTACTGAACTGATGATGGAACTGGTATCCACATCCCCTGTATAGTCCAGCCAGCTTCATGGCACATGGCTGGCACAGTTCCTCAGGCCCCATGCTTGAAATTCTTAATTGTTGGTTAAGATGACCCATGGGGCCTTGCATGGAGCCCTGGAAACTATGTGGCTGGGCCTGCTACAAGCTGAAGAGAATGTGGATGTCACTGTCCCATTGCATCCCCTCTAAGGCCATGCTCAGGACACCTACCTCCCCAAGGAATATGTTGTCCCCAACTCTTCTTACTGCAAGGTAGCACTCCTAGCATCTCCCAAGACTTGCCAAGCCAGACCCCTCTCCCCCTCCCCACCACAGGCCCTCTAAATTCCCATGAGCCCATCTGGCCACACCTGCAGGGGCTGACATTTTACAGGGACTTGGCACTCAAGGCCCAGAAAGTGACCCGATCCAGTGGTGGGAGGAGTCTCCATCAAGAAGGGGACTACCTCACGTGAGGAGCCTCCTTACTAAGGTCATCTGCCTGTGGTCTCAGGGAGGAAAACAGCTGAAACTCGTTGGAGGGCAGCCTGAGGTCTAAGAGGCCTCCTCCACACAATGCCTGCAAGGGGCACTGGGTCCCCAGGAAGGGCCGAGAACTAAAGAGTGCCTAGGGCTGGGGAGACTGTCCCCCAGGGAGATGGTTTCTGAGTGAAGCAGGAGCAGAGCACAGGTAGGATGGGGGCAGGTAGGTGGGGGCCAAGCTGAGGTCGTGAGAGTCTGTTCCTTTTCCACAAGGTCAGAAAGTCCTCCTGACTCTACATCAATAGAACAAGTCTTGCCTCCTAACCCACCCCACTTCTGTCCCTGTTTCTTGAACCCCTAACCTCCTAACTGCTCTCCTGAAACTACCCCCAACTTTGAGGCCAGAGGCAAACTCTAGGTTGGAGGGAACTCTTAGTGGCCAAGATGATAGAGTGAGGCAGGCCTGGCTCAGTGTTCAGGGAGTGTCCTCAGGCCCACAAGGAGGGAAGCTGGACCAGAGGGAAAGGCAGTGCCCCTTCCTCACAGCAGAAGGGAGGCCTTTGCCCAGCATATTCACTGCAGAGCAGTCTCTTCTTCCCCTCAAGGATAGCTATTAAGTGTATGTGTGCGTGCGTGCATATGTGTGTGTGTATATGCATGCACATGCAAGGGGGAGTTCCCTTCAAGGCAGGGTAGGGGGCTGACAGCTTGGGGTGACAGCCACTGTAGGAGGAAAGGGGTTGGACACTGGGAAGGGACCACAGACATGGGATCCTGGGAAACTCTCTAGGCCTGGGGGTGGGGAAACTCTCAAGGACACTGCTAGAAGCCCCCTACCCTATGGCCCAAACCCCAGCTGTACTTTGCTGAATCAAAATACATCTTACTCCAAAGCAGGCCAGTGTTGCTATGACGACTGAGCTAATTCATGGAGGGATTTCTCCATCTGATTTATTATGCCCGCCCCTGTGAGTCAGAGCACAGATATGGGGGACAGGGCAGGTGTCTCTCTTACTCCAGAGGCCACACCATGCAGAAACAAAGGCTGAGATCCAGGGAGAAATGAAAGCCCCGACACCTCCCCAGGATGGCAGGAGAATAGGGAGGAGGAAACCCCAAACCTGAGGCCCACAGGTCCCTGGCTGTGGAAGGAAGCCAGCTTGGTTAGTGTTTACTGAGCATTTACTAAGTGCTTTGGGTGTGCCCACTGTTCTCAGGACACTACTGTGGGGCAGGAACCATGGGACTCCATCCTACAGACAGAGACTGAGGCCCAGAGGACACTGGCCACTAGGTGGAAGCCTGTACCATGCCTGTTCCTGCCTCTCCCTAGAAGCCCTCCCTTTTTTATCTCTGAGGCCCTTAAGCCAGCCCTAGTGAGAACAGCCTGCAGGGCCTCATCTCAGTCTGTGGAAGCAGCAGACCACGTGCCTGCAAGCTGTGGATATTCTTCACTGCTGGCCAGGCAGGGCTGCTGAAAAGGTGTTAACCTGGAGCTCCAGTACCTACCCCCCCACCAGTCAGAGGTTTCAGTATCCCCCTGAAGAAAGGGAAGAGGGTCCCCTGCTTGCATACAGCCTGTGGGGTGAGGGGGAAGTGAGGGCACCCAGGTCCCATGTGCCAACCTGCAGAGCCCTGCCTGTGCCCGCACCAGTGCCCTGACACACTGACATGGTCATACGTGCGCAGCCGCACACGCAGCTTGCAGCTGGTCCACAGACCCATCCATCTATCTCCAGTGGCCCCCAGGGAGGCTCTGGGCTGAGCCAGGATGAGCACGGAGATGAGGACTCCAAGACCCAGGCCCTTCCCTGAGAACCCCACAGTGCAGGCCAGGGATGGCTGGTCTCAGCCCCCACTCATCCACAGCCCCCTTCCCAGCAAAAAAGCCAGGGAGGACTAGGTCTGTTGAAGCCATCCTGAGCAGTGGGCCCCAAACCCTTGCTCTCCAGGCCACCCTTGCTGGGAGTTTAGCCTGCCCTGGGCTCTCGACCTTGGGCCTCAGCTCCCTCATTAGTAAATGACCCTCACAGGCCATGCCTAGGCAGCCACACCCCCAGTGTGGTCTTGCCCCACCTACCCTGCAAAACGTGTTATCCAGCATGGGATGGGGAGGGGTGTCTGCCTAGGACCGTCATCACTCCACACCCCCCCCACACACACTCCGTTGCCCCTGCTACAAGGGCTCCCTCCCTCTCCACACTATAGGACGGGGAGTCTGCCCTTTAATGGCCCCAGCAGGGACACCCCCAACCGCCAGCCAGCCTGCAGCCTGGGAAGGGGAGGGGGCAGCGGCAGGGAGGGAGGATGCGAATGCCTGCGCTGCCGGCTGGCCGGGTAATGGGTGCCGCAGGTGCCTGCCACCGCCGAGGGGCTCGGGGATAGTCGTGTGCTGGGGCCATCCCTCCTCCAGCGCTGGGGGACTAGGGGACCGTTAGGGGGGCGCGGACCGAGGGTCAGGCGCTGCCGGCCCCGCCCCGCCTCCGGGGACCCATGGCACTCCCTCCCCGCCCTGCGATCCCCCCACCCCCGCGCCGCCGGCGCCCACCGCACTCACTGGCCTTCCCCGGCCTCGGCCTCTGCAGCAGCCTCTGCGCGGTCCCCACGTCCTCCGCCTTCACCGCCTGCACGAGCTCCTGCTCCTTCCCCATGGCTCGGCCGGGCCGCTGCAACGCGGCGCGTTCCGTGCGCCCCGCTCAGAGGTGGCGGCGGCCCCGCATCGCCTGGGCCCCGCGCCGCCCGCCGCCCTGCGCCCTCCGTGGGCTGGGGTGGGCTGGGCTGGGCTAGGGCTCTGCGCTGAAAGCAGCGGCGCGTTACGGGCGGAGGGCGGCCGGGGGCGGCAGGCGCGGGGCGGGGGCGCGGCACCGGCGCCGCCTCCCGGACGCCTGGGTCCGCTCCTGCGGCCGCCGTCAGCCCGCGCCGGCCGCGCGCCCCGCTCCGTGGCTCCGCCCCCACACCGGGCCCTCCTCCCCCCGCCGACGCCCCCTCCCCACGTGTGGATAAGAGGGTCAGCCCTGGGCTCTGCGGACTGGGGTGGGGGGGAGCTGGCCACAGAGCTGGTCACGGAGCCCGGACGCGACGGAGGGAGCAGCGTGAAGCTGAGCCGAGGAGAGGCTTCCAGAGGCTGCGGGACCCAGGGGGAGGGACTCGGCGGCAGTGGGCGGGCGGGGACCCGGGCACCAGTGGCACCAGAGTCTGCCCGCCAGAGGCTGTCAGACATTTCTGGCCCGTGGTTTCCTTAGGAGGTGTCAAGGGATTGTGAAGCGGAATCTCCAAATAATGAATTCGGTGTCAGGGAACCCGCACCCCCTCCCCCAGCTACACCTTCTTCCCAGTCAGGCTGGCTCTTTTCCACAAACAATACAGCACAACAGTTCTCCCCGCAGGGTGGCCCCAGAGGAAGCCTGACTCCTCCAACCTGGGCACCAGTTAGTGTGTAGCTCTTCATATCCACCAGGAAGGGGCCTCAAGCCTATACCCAGGATCAGTCTGAGCCCTAGCTGCAGCCCTTTTACTCTCCAGTCTCCAGCCACAGGTTTCTGCAGCTCCAGGCAGGACAGTCTGCTGGACAGATCCTGGAACCCTGCATTCCCAGAGGCCTCCTCTCTTCATCTCCTGCCTGAAGGCCAGGCCCTGGGTATTAGGCCCTACCCTTGCAAATGCGTGCAGTATGGTAGACACAGATCTGTTAAGGTCTGTATCCTGGCTTAGGCTCAGTGTCCTCATTGGCAGCAAGGAGATCAACACTCCAATTCAGCAAGGGTATTGGGAGAATTTGGTGGCCTGACCCATCAAGCAGGTCCCAGGAGAGTGGCCAGAGGGTGGGAAAGGAGAAGCAGCAGGCCCAGGGAAGCCCTCCCCCCCAAAATCTTATCATCCCCTTGTGAGGTCACCTGTGAGGATTAAGGAGCAACTCTAGGTCTTCTGGCATGCGTCAGACTTCCAAGGACGCTTCACCTCCATTGCCAGGTCAGGAGCTGAACTGGTCACTTTTAGATGAAGATGACTTATTTTCCACGTTCTATAAAGAAACTGAAAGCCTGGTCCAGTAACACAGGCTTAATCCCAGCTACTCAGGAGGTTAAGGGAGGAGGACTGCAAGGTCAAGGCCAGTTTGGGCAGTTTAGAAAGACCCTATCTCAAAGTAAAATATAAAAAGGGATGGGAATGTAGCTCAGTGATAGTGTCCCTAGATCAATCCTCAGTACTGGGAAAAAAAAATTTTTTTAAATACAGAGGCCCACTCATCAAATGTTGAATATTTATTTATTTATTTATTTATTTTAGAAAGAAAGGGTCTTTATTTACTCACGGTTTGGGAGATTCAAAGCGAGGGCCTCAGGGCCACTCCGTAGCAAATCCAGGAGCTTGCACAGAAATGTTGAATATTTAAATGCTTTAATGCACACTAATAACCTGTTAAATAAAATATATTCTATTCTATCTCAACAAATATACCTTCATTATAATCTGAAAGGCCAAGTTTAAATTTAGAATTCTTGTATTCCTTTTGGGTAATGAATTGGCCCCTGCTTGTAGCTGCCCCACTCATTCCCTGATCAGCTCTGGCACTATCTATATATGCCAAACAGGGCCAGGATTTAGCTCAGTGGTTCCACCCCCTGACCCGAGTTCTATCCCCGGTACCAAAAAAAAAAAAAAAGTATATCTGCCAAACAGGCAACCCCGAGGCACTAGTTTAATTAGGTGTAGCACCCAACTGTGCAGCTCATTTCAGGAGGAGGTACTCTGGAAGAGGGCTATATAGTCACGGCTTGGGGCCTTCAGGGCAGGAAATTCCAGAGTGTGGTCTAGAATGGGCCACCTGGGCTCCAGATGGGCTCCTACTTATGAGATTCTTCACCCCACAGGGTAGAATATGGCAGGACAAGAGCCAGGTGAAGTTAGAACCCAGGAGGTGTACAAAAGCTGCAGATCAGATACTGCCAACCGGTGACCTGAGACAAGTTCCTGATACTCACTTGCCTCATCTATCAAATGGATTAGCAGCTGTGCCTGCAGCCCAGGGCAGATGGGAAGGTCTACATGGAAATAAAAGATGTGTGCCTGCCTGACTGGGGTCCCCCCAACCTGCAGATGAGAGCAGCACAGAGGATGAGGATGCATGGAGGGGATTCAGGCAGCCCCTGAAGAAGTCAGGCCTCTGAGGATGATGATTCTGGGAGGAGGGGCCGCTGAGCCAGCACAATTGCTGAGGCTGAGCCTGGAGTACCACTAGCAGCAGCTCCACTGCAGCCTCAGCTGGCTTTCTTCCCGGATGCATGGCCATTGCTGGACAGCTCACAGCCCTGCCTCTGCCCACTAGCCGCCTTGCACTTGCTCAGGTACTCCCTGGGGCCCCTCCCACCCTCCAGAGCCTCAATGCCCAGCCCCTCATATATAAAAGGAAAATGGTGAATATGCCTTCCCCACAGGCAGCTGCAAGCCTGCAGCATATGTTAGCTGCATGGTTCTTATCATTCTTGTGGGTATCACCTCTATCAAGTGCTTTACCCAAGCCTGGTACAGTAAAGAGGCTCAACAATCATGTGTTCCTGCTTGCTTCTTGCCCATCACAGATGCTGTAGCTGCTTAGACTGGTTGGTGGCCCTGCCCAGTTTGTCAGCTATCCTTTATTTGGGACATCCGTGTCCTCCTGAGTCCTCAGTCCCCTGCTCCACCCAGAGACCCACAGGAAAGGGAACAGCACAAGAGCTGAGGGGACACCCGTACGCATCTGGCCAAGTTTTCTCTCAGCTTACCTTTCCCTCTTGCCCTTAGGCCCTGTCATGGTTTATACTGCTCCTAATGTCCTTCCAGAGCTGGGGTCCAAAGAATTCTTCCTCCTCTGCCCCCATGCCCAGTACCCTGAGCCTGCTGTGGAACTGCCTTAGGTACTCTTGTCTCTTTAAGGGGAAAGATCAATAGAATGGGGAGCTTTCTCCTCAGACAGAAAGAGAACAGGAGAAAGTGGGGCCTAGCAGGATGTGGCCCAACCTGGAGTAGACAAAAACTGGTTTTTCATCTTCCTGCCATGTGCTTCTGACAGCAGTCCTACAGCTCTGACCCTCAGTTTTCTTGTCTCCAAATGGAGTGGATTATCCTCAGCAGAGTCATTGTGAGAACTTGATACATAATGTAGGTAGAATGATCATCAGTTAGGTGGTTCATCGAAAAGCTGAACGTAGAGTTACCATATGACCCAGCAATTCCACTCCATGGATATGCTCAAAAGAAGTAAAAACATATGTGCAGGGCTGGGGATTTAGCTCAGTGGTACCGCACCTGGCTTGCAAGCTCAAGGCCATGAGTTTGATCTCCGGTACCAAACAAAAACATGTGTGCAAACAACTGTTTGTATATGAATGTCTGTAGCAGTGCTATTCATAGTAGCCAAAAAGGAGAAAATAACCCACATATCCATCAGCAGATTAAAATCTGGTCCATCTATACAGTAAAGTATTATTCAGCAACAGAAAGGAATGAAGCACTGACACATACTGTGACATGAATGAACGTTGAAAACACGATGCTAATAAAAGACAGACACAAAAGGCCACAAATCACAGGATTCCATTGATAGCAAATATCCAGAATAAGCCAATTTATAAAGAGAGGAAGTAGATTAGTGGTTGCCAGGATCTGGTGGAGGCGGAAGGGGAGTAGCTACTTAGTAGGTGCAGGTCTCCCCTTTGGGATGATGACAAAGCTTATGAGAGACAGTGGTTGCATACCACTGTCACTGTACTAAATGACACTGAATTGTTCACTTTAAGTGGTTAATGTTATGTGAATTTCATCTCAATTAAAACAAAAATAGCCCAGTGCAGTGGTGCACACCTGTAATCCCAGCTCTCTGGGAGGCTGAGGCAGGAGGACCAAAAGTTTAAGCCCAGCCCGGGCAACCTAGTGACTTAGTGAGACCCTGTCTCAAAATATAAGATAAGTACCAAAACAAAACAAAACAAAACAAAAACAAAACAAAAAAATATATAAGAGGGCTGGGGATTTAGCCCAGTGGTTCCATCACCTGCCTCACAAGCGCAAGGACCCAAGTTCGATCCCCGGTACAAAAAATTAAAATAAAAAAAAAAATAAACAAATAAATAAAAATAT